CTGACTTGCAAATAAGTAATGGATCAAGAAGTAGGATGCTTGAAGAACACAGAGAGCTGCAGGCCAGCTCAGTGAGAAAGACTGAAGTAACTTGGCCACACAGTTGGACATCCATGTCACTATCCCCAGTTTGGTCAGCTGACCTGCCATTCCAACTAGAACTGCAAACCAAGCCAAGGTGTCCCATGCAGACTTTTCACTTAAGCAGTCATCCCAATTCAGCACACCCAATAGCAAAAGGATGGATAGTCCAAGCATTGCTGCAACAACACTTGGTATTCCGAGGGCATCTCTACACACCAACCATTTACTTAAAAATGAGAATCATAGTAGAGTAATGCAGCAAAGTAACATAAAACTAATGACCACAAGCTAAAACATGCATGGAGGATACTGCATGCCGCTAAACTTGATCGCAAGATCCGTGAGGAAGCTTAAATTTAAAATAAACTGAATGAAAAGACATCAAGTGAGAAAATTATCACTGAGATTTCCAGTTCCATTTTTCCTGATAATCGTCAATATTTTCACTTATCCATTTGGTTCGTGTTATTATACATTTTCCAATTTCAGAATCAATGAAGTATCTCCAGGTCTTCATATAAAAGTGCATACATGTAATTTATGTGTTTATCCACTCGTTTTTCTAACACTAGTTTTGTGACATAGTAAGTGCCCTAGATCTGTATGTCCCTATATCTGATCTTAGTGGGAGAAACATGCATAGAGAAAGAAGCTTGGGACTATAAACACCTCATCAAAACCTTGGACACACATATGTTAAAATCCCAGACAGAGCAAAAGAAAAGAAGTTGGCAAGACAACCCTAAAAATGAACATCCTCAGCTTCCACATTACTCATTTCAGCATCAGCAGCTAGAGAATGGACACTTCTTATTCATCCAAAGAGGCAACAATTTTTATAAAGCAGGAAAGACATGAAATTTTTTTTAAAGGTAAAACATGAAATTTTGAGTAATAGATAAAAAACAATCTACACATGTCAAGTCAAATCATCTTCGTAAACTAATCATTCTTTGTGGCAGATGAACAACTTAATTATTTATGTCTGCATAAGTTAACAGAATTAGTTTGGACTCAGAATATCATTGTGTGACTTACCAAAAAAAGAATATCATTGTGTGCGATTATATACAACATCTTCCGTTACAACTAAGGAAAGTCAGTTAGGGTCATTAGAAAATCATTCACATTCATGCAAAATTGATTTAGGCACCAAAAAAAAAAGTGTCCATGTCCCCTTTTGAGAAGTTTTATGTGAACTAAAAAAATATTAGGGAATGGAAGTGATCGGATCTCTGAACTGAAGCGAACTAAAGTTTTCCAATTTTATAAGCCTAAATGAGGCAATAGCAGGGAAAATTAAAGTCTATATTTTGTTTTCCATAGAATTTTAATTATCTGCAGTCTCTTTATCCACTATTTTTTCTAATCTCCTTTCCCTCTCCTATCTCTTTCTTTTTAATCATATCATCATTATAGCTGTCCATGCTTCCCTTGTACCTACAATTTGGACACTGAAAAAACTGAATGTCTGCAGATTATGTTTACCTGTATGTAAGCATAGCCCCAGCGGAATCAAAATCATTCAAATGCTACGGCACTTGAGTCTCCGACATTACAATTTTTATCAAGAACATTTCTAGGTAACATTTTAAAGGCATTACATGGACAAATCCCAGTTGCATTTGGACAAGTTCTATGCTCATATAAAGTCAAACTGTATGTATTATGTGCTTAAAAATTGTCACCAACACATTAGCCCACCAACAGAGATGAGCAAATTTCTTGTAGAAATAAAATGAAAACTTCATAAGCAAAGCACTGATATAAGTTGCTTACCCAAAGACCCACAATGAAACTGCAAGAACCATGGTCACGACCATCGCCCATTCATTTGTTGTGACAGGTCCCATTTGTTCCAGCTTTTTTGTGGCCAAAGCCGGTGCATCTGGTGTATCCTTTACTTGTGGGGGAAAAAGTTTATATAGGATAAAGGGAGTAGCTAGAAGAGAAACAATAGCAGGTAAGCTTGCAGCTTTAAACCATGACACCCATGGACTAGAAATCCTAACGCCAAGTTCCTCGGCTAATTTAAGACACAACAGATTTTGAGCTGCAGCAGTTAGGAAGAGGGCACTTGAGTTACCAGCTGACTGTATGCACCAGAAAAGCAAGGTGAGTCATTATACTTATAAGATAAGATGAAAGAAAGATAAAAAGTGAGTTGACTATGTTTTAGTTGTTTAGGGTATTAAAAACTAGGATAGAGAACAATAAGGAAGAATGATGATGCTAAGATGAGTATAATTAATTTATACGGTGCTAACATGGAATAAAAAGAATGTGATTATCAGATGCATTTATCAAATGGAATATATCCTCCTAGTGCTGGCAAAAAGCAGACCTGTGCTTGAAGCTCCCACTGATATAGAGACTGGGAAAGGAGCAGATCAATGGAAAAAAGTTCAATTTGCATATGCTGTTTAGAACATAATCTTCAGTTCCGACGATTGGTTATATTTATTTCCTTGGTTCCAAAATAGACTTAGGCTTTTCTGGATCAAGCATGCAGTCCCATTTATAGATTTAACATGATCAAGGAATTATTAATATCACTAAATAGATCAACTAATATTTCAGGCAGAGCGAAGCTCCAGTTTATTAAACTCTATATATCAAAGATTGAGGAAAAATTGTTCTTGAGTGACCAGAAAATCATGAAAGCACTATATTTTCAAGGAATTTATCTGAAAAATATTGACAAAATAATAAAAATAGTTTTTTATTTTTTGTTGTCAACAAGTTTCCCCATACCCAATAAAATTAAGAAACAAAGGAACTAACTGTTGTTAAGAATATCAGAAACATTTGAATAGCTAATGCGTGAAAACAGTCAATTTCTTCGGTGTTTGACTTTCAAGTCGACCTTCTATAATCTGTACGTTCTGATCTCTTCAGACGCTAGAACAAGAAAAATATACGAACTAATAACATATTTGTGCAAGATTTCTTTAACACGTAATAGGTTGTTGTTAGCAAATATTTGACCACAGTTTAAGTTTTCCGTTAAAAAACAGATAAATCACCATTTTCGTATTCGACAATGAAGAGGGAAAATGGGGAGGAAACACCGAACAAAGAAGAGACCCAAACCTGGAGCTGTGACATGATTAGGAAGGACCCCAGCTTTCCAGCCGATTGATCCCCGGGTTTACTCCCGGATTGGAGGGACAAGGACTTGATGATAGGCAAGAAAACCCCGCCGGCTCTCGCAGTGGTGCTGGGCATTGCGGGGGCAATGAAAGCCTCGCTGATGGTAAGCCCATATGACAGCCCCAGTGTACTTCTCCCTAGCCATTTAACAAAGTACGTCGCAATCCGATCTCCGAGGCCGGTCTTGACAAAACCCCTTGCGAAGAAGAAAGAGATCACGATTAACCAGATCACCTCATTCGTGAACGCCCCGAAGGCCGCCGAGAAGGTTAGGGTCTTGGTGATTATCGAGGCGGTGAGACCGATGAAGGCCCAGGCACCAACCGATAGAGGACTGAGCACCAGGCCGGCGATGGTTGACAGGAAGATGGCCAGGAGCTGCCACGCCTGCGGCGTAACATCTACGGGTCTCGGGACGAGGAACCGCACGGCAAGACCAATGGCAACGGAGATCGCGAAGGGGACGGGCTTCGCCCCCTGAGTTGGCTGCGGCGACGCCGACGGAGAAGCTGCCGGATTTAGGGCAGCGCTAGAAGGCGAGGAGGACGCTCGAATGGGGGAATGGCAGCGTTTTACAGGGCGGAGGCGGAGGGGATTGGGTGAGAGGGGACGGACGATGAAGGAGAGGGCCGCCGCGGAGGGAAGCGGGGTGGATCGGAGAGCGGATACGGGACGGTGGCGAAGGATGGGAGTGGAGCGGATGGAGAGAGGGGAGCCGATGGGGCGGGAAAGGGCGGAGCTCTCCATGCGCGAGGGAGCTCAGCGAGAACGACGCAGATACTAAACAGGGGGTGAGGAAAAACGCAACGAGATCTCGTCACCGCGTAGTCGAGTCGAAAGCGAATCGGTTATTGCATTCGGATCACACGTTGGCATGACGAACAAATGTAGATTAAAGGACTCATCTGAGCCGTCACACGATTCCGTAGGTAGAATCTCAACCAACCACGACACCTGGTGTTCTATGATTGGATCTTTAAACTTCTGCTTGCAGGCAATCCGCACACCTGATCCGTCTTGCTCACAGGAAGACAAAATGAACGTAGCCAACCAATTGTTGATCGACAGCTCAGCTGATGGCGGGTGGTGGAGTCGTGAGGAAACGTTGAGTGTGGCAATGCTCTGTTGATCGCGTGGCACAGCTGAGGGGAAGGGATCGATGGGCTGAGGAAATAGACGAAGTAGATGTTTGCACGTCACCTATTTGTTTTTTACCGTGTGCCTCCAATATGCTGCAACAGAGTACATACAATTGTATGGACATTACGTATTTATCGTTTATAATAATAATGAAGATAAAAATATTATGATCGGTTCATACCTGATCTGATAATATACGTTTTCAAGGGTCCCTAATCCGTTACTAAATCGTGCTCAGATTTGAGTCGGATGTGTTTTATCGGATCCTTGGATACGGATTACCCATTAATCATGGTTGCGGTCAAGCACCAGCAGCCGCCCTATATTGACCGCGTGGACATCTCCAACTTCTCCACCGCCAGTTGGTAACCCGTCGAGCCGTCAAACCCACCGATGTCGGCAATTTCCACCACATTACTTCGTACTCGCCTGGTATACCCGCCCCATGATTCGGGACAGTCATGAAAACCTCTCGGGGCCACTAACGTTAGGGTTTCTATCACCACTAAACAGACAGGTATATTTCGTGAAAGACGATATATCTGATAGCGAAGTAGGTTTCTCTAGACATGACGAGATGGCACGTGACCGGCGTATGGTATCGACCTTGGTTCTTCTCTTCTTCCTCCGTCTCAGCGTCAACCCTCCCCCATTGTGTATATAATGCTGGTGCCATTTGAACACCGTCATTACTTGCCTCCCTGTCTTGCAAGCCTTAGGTTCTTGATCGCCAGCAGCTTCCTGCGGTCGGAAACTAGGTATAGTTTCGCCGGGTTCTTGTGCGATCTATGTATAGATTGTTTTGGTAGGGTTAGAGATGTTTAGGTCTTTGATTCTTTGGGGGTTTGCTTCTGATTTGATCGGAATTTGTAAAGATTTTTAACGGATTGCGAATGTGAATCTTTGAATTTGGTTTCCAGGCTGAAGATCGGAGCGAACGCTTTAGCCGGCCATTGGTTGGACGAGGTGCGGTAGAAAATGGCTTCTCTCGCGTCGTCTTCTTCTGTCACCCGGCTTTGTCGCTCTCAGTAAGATCTTTCTCCTCTCTACCTTTGTTGTATCTCGATTTCTATTTCATTTTTGATTTGTTATTGCATTTAACTCAAATCTTGCGTGATTTGGCGAGAAATTCCACGGAGAAGAGGCCCCTCTACCTTTGTGGTCTCTCGATTTCCGTTTCTTTTTTGGTTTGTTATTTCATTTAACTCAAATCTTGCGTGATTTCGTAAGAAATTCCATGGACAAAAGGCCCCTCTACCTTTGTGGTCTCTCGATTTCTGTTTTTTTTGGTTTGCTATTGCATTTAACTCAAATCTTGCATGATTTCGTCAGAAATTCCATGGACAAGAGGCCCCTCTACCTTTGTTGTCGCTCGATTTCTGTTTCTTGTTGGTTTGTTATTGCATTGAACTCAAATCTTGCATGATTTCGTAAGAAATTCCATAGACAAGAGGCTTCTTTTGTAATATTCTTGTGGGTAATCATGGAAGAAAGTAATTTTGACAAACGACTGTCCACTTAGTTGGTTATGTATTTATGTAATAACCTTAATTTGATTCTTTGTAAAACGATTAAGGCGTGGGGCAGAATAATAAAGATACTTTAATTCAGGTTATTGAAACTTGAAAGCACTTCTAACTTTTGACATTCTGCGCTTAATAGTCTTCTTGGCTTCTTACATGTAACTTTGTGTTTTTTCTAAAACTTGTGGACAAGTCATGCCAGAAAAGTGAATATATTCAAAATTTAGACAGACCTTATGTACACCTTTCTGAATATTTTGACTCATGAATCCGTTTTTAAAGCTATTTCTTTTGTTTTGCATCCAAAATTACTTCCACTTAGGGTTTAGAATGTTGTACAGCAAATCCAAGGCGTGTGTTAATGTTGAGGAAATTTGCTATTGTTACTAACAAAAAAAGGTGTAACAGGAACCAAGGCATTCCGTCACGCTTGGCTCCCATGAGTTTTTATTTGAAAAATAAAAAAGACTATGCCTTCGCCATATTGAATATGAATAATAAGTGTGGAGATTATAGCATATGAGATCAAATTGCAAAAGCAATTTGACATGGTATTAGAAGCAATGGGTCACCTGAATTCTCTTCTTGAAATTCTCTTGTTATATGCTCGTATGATTTCGAAGTTTGAATGACAGAATTCATGAATTAAAACAATGAGAGATAATTCTCATAGCAGTTCACAAACCTTTATTTTTTTCACTATTAACAGGGTGCACTGTTCTCCAAGAGGTTCCAGCTGTTTCAAAAATCTTAGAAGGTTGTACCATAATTCCTTTGCAGTAAATCAGAGGACTTCAAATCTTACATCAACAGGTTCTAGGAAAGCTGCATGCTATGCTTTGAAAACAGATGGTGAATTTCCAACTGTTCCAATTTCTAGTGAGGGTGAAATGCTGCCAGATATTGACCAGGATAATGCAATTGTTACTTCCATGCTTCAATCAGATGCTGTAGCCCTTGGAACAATTGCTGCTGATATGGCTGCAGTTACTGATGATTTTTCTATTGACAATGGTGAACTTGATTTAGATTGCCCTACTGAAGGGTTTTCTTCTATTTCAGAGGCCATTGAGGACATCCGCCAAGGCAAGGTCTGTCTTCTAGTTAGATCAGATTGATTGTCTTTTTTCAATTTGGCTACAGCTTGTTCTTTCTGTTGCACTTCATGTTCAGTGTTGGTTACTTCTTGCAGTTTGTGATTGTTGTCGATGATGAAGACAGAGAAAATGAGGGAGATCTTATAATGGCTGCACCTTTGGTAAATCCAGAGGCCATGGCTTTTATAGTCAAGCACGGGACAGGAATTGTTTGTGTGAGCATGAAAGCAGAAGACCTTGAAAGATTAGAGCTTCCTCTCATGGTATCAAATAAAGAAAATGAGGAGAAGCTCTGCACAGCTTTCACTGTCTCAGTGGTATGTTATTGATCTTGATTTTGATGGTTAATGGTGCTTTTCATCAATAAGAGTGAAATATAGATAAGAAGCGACATCTCACAGAAACAAATTACTAAGTGTCTTTGAAGTTTGAACTATTCTCTCACTCTGTCTAGCTGGCAAGGTTGCATAATCTATACGTCACTTCCTTGTTCATAGCATAAAACATGATGTATTATTATCTTATAGTTTTAATTCTAAGATCTTTAAAGTTTATTTGTTTATCTTATCTTAAAATCAATGGATTAGCCTTACTCCATCAACCAAGGTTCTGTATAACTGCCTGATTTAGGTTTCTAAAATATCCTGTTTGGACAAGTTATAGATTGTGGTCATACTTTAAACATGCTAATGCCTGCAGTCAACTATTCTGACTTGCTTTTATTGGTTGACTCTAATTATAAGTTCCAATTATTTATTCTCATGCTGTGATTATTAGAAGTTTGAAGTCTGATGGAACTTGTAATTTTCAGGATGCAAAAGAAGGTACAACAACTGGTGTATCTGCTAGTGATAGGGCAAAGACAGTTATGATGCTTGCATCACCAGATTCAAAGCCCGAAGACTTCAATCGCCCTGGTCATATTTTTCCATTAAAATACAGGGAGGGTGGTGTTTTAAAAAGAGCTGGACATACAGAAGCATCAGTTGATCTGGCTATGCTGGCTGGATTACCCCCTGTTGGTGTTCTATGTGAGATTGTTGATGAAGATGATGGTTCCATGGCTCGTCTACCAAAGCTACGTGAATTTGCCAAGAAAGAGAATTTAAAGATAATCACAATTGCTGATTTGATCAGGTATGTCTCTGCTTGTCTCATGCAAGATATCATCATTATTACCAAGGGAATTGCACTTGCTGGAACATTTCAATTACATAGATTACTATGTTTGCATTTTAGGTCAAAGTTGGTTATGAATTGGCATTCATACTATGCTGTCATGCTGTGCAGGCACATGCCATACTGATCCATATTGCTTATTATGTATCAACATGGCCTATTGTTTACTGGCCATGACGTGCCCTGAAAGTTTGCCCATCCAATAGCATAAATTTCTGTAATCTTTACGCTCTTAGAACAGATTGGAGATGAATTGGCATGTTTGATTACTGCAACCATTTGTGTTTGTAATGTGACTGCAGTTGCTTCAACATTCTTTGTTATCCTCATTTTAGTTTTTTGTATTAGATCTTGTGATTTACTTTTAGTTCTGACCATGAGATGGTATCACAGATATAGGAGAAAAAGAGACAAGTTGGTTGAACGTGCTTCTGTTGCACGCTTACCTTTAAAGTGGGGCTCTGTTCAAGCGTACTGCTATCGGTCACTACTTGATGGAATGGAGCATATTGCCATGGTTAAAGTAAGAATTCTTTGTGAAAAACCTTAGCACTGTACACTATTATGCCTCTTGCTGCTTTTTGATCATTAAAATGGATTAGTTATGAACTTCTTGAGTATTCAGATCATATTGAACTGTCTATCTTGCTTGTAAAACATAACGTTTCCAACATTAGTTTTGGCATTCAAATACTTCTTTTCCAATTTAAACAGGGGGATATTGGGGATGGCCAAGATATCCTTGTGAGGGTGCATTCTGAGTGCCTCACTGGCGACATATTTGGATCAGCTAGATGTGACTGTGGTGATCAGCTTGCATTGGCTATGGAAATGATTGAAAGGGCTGGCAGGGGTGTGCTAGTTTACCTTCGTGGACATGAAGGAAGGGGTATTGGCCTTGGCCACAAGCTTCGTGCTTACAACCTACAAGATGATGGACGGGACACCGTGGAAGCTAATGAGGAACTAGGATTGCCTGTAGATTCACGGGAATATGGTATTGGTGCACAGGTGAGATGTGAAAACTGGGCCAAGCCTTCCTGCTGTGATAGTATTTTTGATGGTAACATCGATCTTAGCAATCTGGAAAAAGCAATAGTGGTTTAGTTACATGCCACATTGATTACTTCACAATTACTATATAAGTTCTACCATACATAAGAGATATATAAATGCCTCTGATTCATATTATATGCTATGATTGCATGGGCAGCATGTGCATTCCTTGCATTCTTCTTACATTGTTTGTTTTTATAATATTGCATATACCCATCTCTGCTCTTTAATTCGCCTTCATGGGACCTGTCTTTTACATCTTTCAACATTAAGGTTTAGGTGTACATGGCCTATTCCCAATGATCTATCATCAATAAATGAATTATTTTGCATTATATTCTTTGGTTTCAACTTTCACATTTGTTTCTGTTTCTGCAGATATTAAGAGATCTAGGTGTTCGATCAATGAAATTGATGACGAACAACCCTGCCAAGTATGGTGGACTCAAAGGTTACGGATTGAGCATTGCAGGCAGAGTTCCCTTGCTGACACCAATCACCAAGGAGAATAAGAGATACTTGGAGACAAAAAGAGCAAAAATGGGACACATTTATGGATCTGCTGAATTCAATGGTCATCTAACTAGTTTCATCCAAAGAAATGGAACTGGCAAACAGCATCAGGCCATTTGATGCAGGAGTTGGTAGTGAATTTTGAGTCACAAGTTCAGGCTCAGGCTCAGGCTCAGGCTCAAACTCAAATTATAGTTTGCAACTGTCATTGATGAAGCTCACCGAGGCATCTGCTTCTGAGCTATTCTTTTAACCTCTCTCTGGCTGTCTGATGTACTAAAATGTTTTGTACTTGAGATTCAATAAGAAATTATTTTGTTTTCTCATTTCTTGATATCCTGTACGGCAGTCGTCGTTCTTTAAATGCAAGCAGGTGAGCCGATGAGAAACCCCTGCCACTGCCCAAGAGAAGAAATTCCACATGCAGGTGACATGTAGTTATTTTGGTGTCAGAAAAACTTAATTCTAGGTAAATTAAGAATTAAATTGAACATATTATTAAAAATACAAAATCACCGTACCCTGGAAATCAATGCGGATAATAATTGCTTAGCTGTAGAAAGATGGATTACAAGTAATTGCTGGCAACTAACTTCAAAAAGGATCAATGCGGATAAACCTGGTAGGATCAACATGGACCGGTCAGACCGGTGTTTATTGATCAGACTAAGGACCGACGCGGAATAGTATTGTTCGGCACCAATGCCAAATAACCATGAACAAGATTAACAGGAGATTTGTACTTAAAAAAAAAAAAAAAGGAGATTCGACCTCTATGCAATCAATAATCAATCAATTTCACCCAAAAGAGTAACATTATGCCCATATCATCATCATTTATTATAGAAGAAGAAATTGGAAGAAGATCATAAAGAAACAAATATGACAGAGAGATGATTCCCTACCTCGAACTCAAGTGCCATTTTCAGAAAACACGCACAAAAGGGCTTCACCCTGCAAATAGAACTCGATGTAGTTAGCTCATATAGATGCATCCAGAGGAGCAGCTTATTGTTACAGTATAAAAGAAACCAAATACGAACCAACATGTCATCGTATTTGTTCACATCTTGAACCAACCTTTTTCATTTAAAGAAGTCACCACCACGGCCAGGATTAAGGCGGTTTGTTTCAGCGACCAAGAAGAACAGGCAGATCAAGATTTACTTTCGTTGGCATTGTGGAGGTAGAACAAATGGATACAAATATACCAACATCCCACTGCCGAAAAGAAGCAAAAGAAACAGGGTTTTGAATTACTTCTTTTATCAAGAATGTCAATTCACAGCTACGGACACAATTACGGACCAATCGAGAATCAAAATAGCGAAGAAAACATAAAGTCCTAACGACAGAATCATTTTCTTGAAACATCATCAAGGAACGAAGCATCTAATACGACTATTAGAGAGGATGGAAAGAGAAAGGGAACCAAAACCTAGATCGCGATCTCCGCCCTCCTCGACGATGAGGGAGTCGGACGCCGAAACGCCTCAGGCGGCTATCTCCCCGTCCCCATACACGGAAGGGCCTTGGACTTCCGGAGTCGCTCGTGACGTGCAAGGCGAGGAAGGGCTGTTGTCGAGACAGCGGCACTGTTTATTCACAGAATGACATGATCTTGGCCGTTCAAAAGGTCGGCGTACCTATATCTGGCAGTTGTCACCATTCGTCTTAAGATGAACGGTTTTGATGGAGTCTCTTGCGGCGCGAAAGGAGTCGATGTTTACGAGACGGTGGCTCCCACTGTATTCATGCCTTGATGCGATCTTAAGATGAGCGGTTCAAAAGATCAGCGGACCTATATACGGCAGTTGATACCGTCCGTCTTAAGATGAGCGGTTATGATTGACGGTTCAGGATTCTACACATGGGCCGGACTGAGTTGTCACTTCATCGAGCTGATCCATCTGCCTCAATGACTCTCGTGTCGGATCAATCGAATTGTGCCGCTAATGTGTAGAAGATACATTCGATGAAGGAAAAGGATCGGTCAAGATAGGAAAGAAAATTATCGTAGTCAGCATTATTATAATAAGAGGTGCAAGAGAAAATATTTTGTTTATGCTGTAAAATATTATTATGAGCCTAGCCTACTATAAAATTTATTAATTTATTATTATCAAGATTAATTACTACTTATCCATAACTCTACTTCTCATCTTAGTTCTAACTTCAATGTTATAGGAATCTAATCGAGCATTTCACTAGATCTCTTGCAAACATGCTCGATAATCATCCACATCCATCACATTATGTTAATTTTATAAAAGAACTTATAGATTACAATAAGATGCCACTGATTTTAGGAAGTATAAAGATATAGTGTAACATTATTAGGAAAATAATTAAAAATAGATTTTCTTAATCATGTGGATAAGTTAAGAATTTAATAAATTAATTAAATAATATAAATTAGTAACTGATTTATTTTCTAATGAGTGATGTGACTTTTAAGAAATAATAATTTTGAATTTCATTTTTATGAGTGAATCATAAAAAATAAATATTATATTTATATTTATATATTTAAAAATAAAATTAAATATAAAAATTAATTTATTACTTACTTTTGAGGATGGCTTATCTTTTCCTATATAAAGATGGCACCCTCTCCCTTATTCGTCACCTATGCTGGCAGCAGATTAAGCAAAGGATCCTTACCAAGAAGAGAATCCCCAAGGAAAGGTAAGTTTTTCTATTCTTTACTTAATAATTTTAATTTATATTTTAAAAGTCTTTAATATTAAATTAAGTATAATTGTTATGGTACATATTTTAATTTTAAAATAATTATCATGAAATTTCATACTGATAATCTTGACTTGTAATTATCTTTTAAGCTTAAATAGATTTTAAGATTATTTAATTATTTAAAATTTTATTTTAAATTAAATTTATTGTTTTAATTAATTTAATTAGATATGTCTTTGTTTCAAGATTTATATGTGAATTTTTATTATTTAATTATTTTTAAACTTGAGCTCATTAGTTAATTGAACCATACCAATTTAATCATTCAAGTCGATTTAGGATCATTTCATAATAATTTGATCGATTAAAACTCATTTGACCCAATTAAAACTAATTAAATATAAAATTAGGTTAGTTTAGAGTGATTTCAAACTGGTTTAATAAGAGTTAGATCCTAATTAATTTGAAATCTAATTCAAATCAATTAAGCTATTCCAATTATATTTAGGACAATTGAGGAATGCTAAGAGATATATCTCATATTTTTATGATTTAATAAGATTAAAAATTTTATTTGGATGTGTGATTCAGGAAGGATTTAGTAGTTTTTTATTATTTTTTGGATTAAGTTGATGATATTGATTGTTACCATATTGTATATATAGCTATGATGAGTGGTCCACATATGCACACTATGAAAAGAGCTATAGGCCTATCATAATACAAAGTCACAATTGGTATAGTTCAGTTCATAAACCATGCTATAGTTCAGAGCTATAGCATGGTCTCTTATGAATAAATTAGTGAGTCGATACATGTGACAACTAAACGGTTCATCTATCGAGAAAAATGTGTCACCATTTGAACGAGTAAGAAACATAACTTCATTCATCGTTAAGAATATGATATGAATTCTCTCCGTCCATTATTAAAAGGAATCTATCCTATCAAGTATCTCACCATTTGTTGTTCATAGTATATAATCGAGTATGATGTATACATTTGCTATTCGATTATTATGTATGTCATCGAGATGTGTTCTATGATTTTATTTAAGAAGAATTATTATTTATTTGATATATGAGTTTCATAATAAATTAATATATTATAGTTGAATTATTAATATTTTAATATGTCTCATGAGTATTAAATATAAATTTTATGATTGTTAATAGTTAGTGTCGAGATTATAGTACATGAAATCAAATGGCAAAAGCAATTAGATATGGTATTAGAAGCAATGGTTCACCTGAATTCTCTTGCTATACGGTTGTCTGATTTCAAAGTTTGAATGATCAGAATTCATGAATTAAAACGATGAGAGATAATTCTCATAGTGGTTCACTAATTCTTTACTTCTTTCACCATTAACAGTGTGCACTCTCAAAGAGTTCCGATCTCTAGTGAGGGTGAAATGTTGCCAGATATCGATCAGCATAATGCAACTGTTGCTTCCACGCTTCGATCGGATGGTGTAGCCCTCGGAACAATTGCTGCTGATACGGCTCCAGTTCCTGATGCTTTTTCTATCGACAATGGTGAACTCGATTTAGATCGCCCTACCGAAGGGTTCTCCTCTGTTTCAGAGGCCATCGAGGACATCCGCCAAGGCAAGGTCAGTCTTCTTGTCAGATCAGATTGATCTTCTTTTTTCCATTTGGCCACAGCTTTTTTCCGTCCATTGCGCTTCATGATCGGTGCTGTTTACTTCTTGCAGTTTGTGATTGTTGTCGATGATGAAGACGGTGAAAGTGAGGGAGATCTTATGATGGCTGCACCTTTGGTAAATCCAGAGGCTATGGCTTTTATAGTCAAGCACGGGACAGGAATCGTCTGTGTGAGCATGAAAGCAGAAGACCTCGAAAGATTAGAGCTTCCTCTCGTGGTATCAAACAAAGAAAATGAGGAGAAGCTGCGCACAGCTTTCACTCTCTCAGTGGTATGCTACCGATCTTGGTCTTGAAATATAGATTGAGGTCCCTCCTCTTTGACATCATGGGGTTGACTTCAGTGGCTCAGGTTGCATAATCTATACGTCACTCTACCCAGTCCATAGCATAGAACTTGTTGTATTATTATCTTATGGTTTTAAGTCTAAGATCTTTAAAGTTCATCTGTTGATTGGCCAAGCTTCTGTATAGCTTGTCTGATTTGGGTGTCTAAGACAGACTGTTCATACTTTAAACATGCTAATGCCTGCAGTCAACTATTCTGACTTGCTTTTACCGGTTGACTCTAATTATAAGTTCCAATTATCTGTTCTCATGCTGTGATTATTACAAGTTTGAAGTCTGATGGAACTCGTTCTTTTCAGGACGCCAAAGAAGGTACGACAACTGGTGCATCTGCTAGAGATAGGGCAAAGACAGTTCTGAAGCTTTCATCACCAGATTCAAAGCCTGAAGACTTCAATCGCCCTGGTCATGTTTTCCCATTGAAATACCGAGAGGGTGGTGTTCTGAAAAGAGCTGGGCATGCAGAAGCATCGGTTGATCTGGCTGTGCTGGCTGGATTAACCCCCGTCGGAGTTCTATGCGAGATCGTCGACGAAGATGATGGTTCCATGGCTCGTCTACCGAAGCTACGTGAATTCGCCAAGAAAGAGGATTTAAAGATGATCACGATCGCAGATTTGGTCCGGTATGTATCCGCTTGTCTCTTGCAAGATGTCATCATTATTTGACCATGAGATAGTATCACACACAGATACAGGAGAAAAAGAGACAAGCTGGTCGAGCGTGCTTCTGTCGCACGCTTACCTTTGAAGTGGGGCTCCGTTCAGGGGCACTGCTATCGGTCACTTCGTGATGGAATAGAGCATATTGCCATGGTTAAAGTAAGCATTCTTCGTGAAAGAACCTTAGCACCATACTTTTTGATCATCAAAATGGACTGTGTAGCTGCTTGTAAACCGCAGGGGGATATCGGGGATGGCCGAGACATCCTCGTGAGGGTGCACTCCGAGTGCCTCACCGGCGACATATTTGGATCAGCTAAATGCGACTGTGGCGATCAGCTCGCGCTGGCTATGGAAATGATCGAGAAGGCTGGCAGGGGTGTGGTGGTTTACCTTCGTGGGCACGAAGGGAGGGGTATCGGCCTCGGCAACAAGCTTCGTGCTTACAACCTGCAAGATGATGGACGGGACACTGTGGAAGCTAACGAGGAACTCGGATTGCCTGTAGATTCACGGGAATACGACGTTGGTGCGCAGGTGAGATGTGGAAACTGGGCAAGCCTCCCTGCTGTGAAACGAACTTGTGATGGTAACATGGATCATTACAATCTGGAAAAGACAGTAATGGTTTAGTTGAGTTGCATACCATATTGATCACCTCAAAATTACTACTACCTAAGTTCTGCCATTGATCTATGATCTTTAATTCGCTTTAACGGCAATTGTGTTTAGGTTTCATTTTACTGATTTCATGTTATGTGGTTTTCAACTCGTGTTTCAAAATCTCATTCAGTTGTTTTTTGTAGATATTAAGAGACTTAGGCGTTCGGTCAATAAGACTGATGACGAACAACCCGGCCAAGTGTGATGGACTCAAAGACTACGGATTTAGCATCATCGACAGAGTTCCTCTACTTACACCAATAAACGAGGAGAATAGAAGATACTTGGAGACAAAAAGAGCAAAGATGGGACACATTTATGGATCTGAATTCAATGGTCATCTAACTAGTATCATTCAAAGGATTAAAGAAACTATATAAAAGCGAATCTTATATCCTTTGATATAATCTTTTTTTTTTATCTTACTAAACAAGAGAGAATTTTCTTACACCCTATAATTTTCTTTCTTTTGGGAACCCAAAATTTGAGCACCATATGAATTTGGTCGACCTGTAACGAGTTTCAGTTTGACACTCTATAAGGGGACAAGAGAAGATGAGGTTTTATGTTTTCTGTAAGAGAGAATAATATTGTGACTTGCTTATTTTTGTATTGGGATTTTCTTCTCCTCGTCGACATAGGAACGATGTTTATATCATAATCAATCCGAATCAGGTTAAATTATTTATATTTTTTTGTTATCTAATTTTTCCACCGATTGATTATCTTTTGACTCCGTAAATTCTTTCTCCTCATAGACATAGGAATAATGATGTTTAGTTACTGGACTAGTTATGAAAAAGACCTCCAGCGATGGGCCTCTGATCTCATGCAGACTGAGATAGAGAGAGAGAGAGAGAGAGAGATTTCAGTGTCAATAACGGTTAAGTAGATGGACAGAGCAGCCCTTCCTTTCATTACTTGATCTTCGCTCATCGTTAATCTACTCTACACGGTGTTCCTCTCTCACACAGTTTATCTCATCTACTACAAATCACATGTCAAGTACAATCTCGAGAGACGCTGCTTAATTGACTGACTCGCTATACATTTAATTTTTAATCTTAAGCTAAGTTGTACTAAATCATCTTAAGTTTTTAGAAACATGCTAATACAGATCTCATATCCCGTGAGAAGAACATCTTCAATATACCAACTTTTTAATGAAAATTTTGCCCCTCCAAAATATTGCTAGCAGTCGTCGTTATTCATATGAGAAATCCCTGCCACTGCCCTCGAGAAATTCCACATGCAGTTTTTCCATTTTCATTTGCTCCATTTGTCATATGAAACAAGTTAGCTTGTTCAACCACAATTACGTGAGAAATCGCAAAAATATAAACTGATATATTGAATTGGATTCATATGATTCAAAAGAGGGTGTGCAAGCAACTCTGGAACAACAGGATAACCAATGGTACAAAACTTCACGTATGCTAATTTTATACTCTGAGCAGCATACTTGTTATGCTGCAACCTAAATAATCTTGGTGTGACAATTCATGTATACGAGGCTAATTTGTTTTTGTTAAGCCTCTCATCTATCATAATCCTTTTAGCTAATCCTCTGTTATTACGGAGCACAGCAGGTCGACACGTCAATACCAGCAACCTCCATCGCATTGCAAACCCACTCTGGGATATCACCCTTAGGGAACTGTAAGAAATTGAGTGAAAATTAATCTAAAACCCTCTAGATAACAGACATTAATACCATTAAGATTGGTCATAATTTAAAAATTATTTGGTTTGCAAAACACAAACCTGCACACGTAAAAAACCCTGTACAAACCTGTAGAGGAGAATATAAAAAATCATTAAATATCGATATAGATTTTTGGTGCAAAAAAACTGAATTCTAGGTTAATTAAGAATAAATTAGACATATTATTAAAAAAATATAAAATCACCATACTCTGGAAATCGCCCCTCAACTATTGATGTGTGAAGGTCCTTGCTTAGCTGCAGAAAGATTAGTTTCAAGATAATAATTGCTGGCAGCTAACTTCAAAAAGGATAAATGCAGATAAACCTGATAATTCTTTTAATGCAATAAATATTCATATATGATCACAAGCATATCTCAGCTTCGAGACAAGCTAGAGATTTTACCCTCATCATATATGACAAATTATGATAAGACACTAGCTGGGAACCCATTGGATCTTTCGTCACAATGCAGTGTAAGTAGGCTCGTGTATAATTTCTACAAACCTGCAAAGAACAGTACGACTTTCAGCAGTCAATTCTGTTGTGTAATCATTTTTGCCTTTAAATGTCAATGTGGGGTAAAGTCTTACCATACACAAACATGTCGGATCAATAGGACGTTCATCATTGGCCATGGCCTGATTTTTCAACTTCAAGAGACCCTGGATAGGATAAAAGACTAGTTAAATGACACTTAATGACCATGATGATTGGATCATCTTTTTGAAGTTAACCCATACATTTAGCTTCTAAGAGACCATGAATTTTAACACAACTTCAAATTCAGGAGTCAAAGCACAATCCCAATGTAGTGTACCCATTGCATGAGGCTTCTGCCACTGAAGGATTTGTAAATGGCCAATATATACAGCTTTTACTTTGCAAGTAGAGATGCTATTTTCATAACCTGAACCTTTGTCACTCAAATTGCTAAGAAACGATCTTACATGGCACCAAGGCCGGCCCTTTAACCGTCTCCAGTTTTTCAGGTTCATGTGTTGGGTGGACTTTGTGTTTTTGTTGTTTGATGTCCCAAAAAATGAGTGGATTTTAGGCTTGAATGAAATTTCCTAATTTCCTAGTCCATACATAATATGGCCTTAAACATCTACTCTAATCTTCTAGTTTCTGGATCTTAAAGCAAATATAAATGTAATCCTTAAAAGAAATAAAAAAAATCATGTTTATGAGATTTTAGAATACTACAGAGACAGAATACAATAATCAGATTTAACATTAATTTTATGAATATTAGTATGCTAACCTCAGGAATAAGAGCTGTGCCAAAACGAGCAGTTCGTGTAGGATATACACAATCATACATGTCTGCACCTAACGCACTGCAAACTACAAGATCAAGTGGATATCCAACACCCTACAGAGTATTTGCATGTCAAAATAAATATATCAGGTAGCAATATTAGGAATGTAGAAGACAACAAATAAATTTAGAAATCTACAGACACATCGAATATATGTAAATGAAAAAATTACTTATCTTAATATACTTAGCATACAAAGTATTTCTATCAAGAAACAGATCTTTAAATACCCATGCACAAAATCTATCTTCGTGCATGTGTGGGAAGGGATTCAATCACATATAATCAAAAAAGAGATCCAATATATGGAAATCTAAATTCGTGACCAACCATTCAACTAATCTATATCCTTCTAGATCTCAAAGTCACAATTGAAACTCCTGAAGAATCAACTTGTTGCAAAAAATATGTGGTGCTCCAAAACACATCACAAAAAATATAATTGAATATCCAGAATACTGATTATGATATAAGCATCTTGCATAAACATGAAGCACAGTTCCGTTTTGAGGCTAAAGATCTTCGAACATATCAGATCAACAGTCAATATCCCGATTTCAGTAAAGCATATAAGAACTCATCCATGGATCCTTGAGTATGAACATCAAACTCAATCGAATAGAGTTGTGTTGGATATAAATGGAACTGGGATAAATATTACTCGGAAAAAATAATAGCACATGATATAAAAGCTGTACCATCACATATCGGGGTTTATCTTCTGGTAATGCAGCAGTACACTGTGCAACAACACGCCAAAAGGAGTCTTTATCTTCACCGCCTGAAAGACCACCAATAGCATAGCTGTCACAGTAGAAAGTGAGTTCAACTATCCAACATCAGATGATAATTCATCTACGAAGCTAGAGAAAAGTAGATAATTACTGTACACTTTTTAAGTCATTACAAGTTTGCAAACTTGTAGAACGTTTCTATATGATCAGCAAACAGTGAAAGCAATTCTTATGTGATAAATGCAGGAATCCACTAATTGAACCAATAACTAATTACACACCTATAGTGGATTATCCTCGACGATCATCGTATTGGACAAGACGCATGCGTAAATCCCACCTTAAGAGGGAAATGCAGCCATACTCTATTGATAACTAATTACGCACCTGTAACAACGACAATCCTTCGAAGTCATCTTATCGGCCAAGATGTATCAATCTTGAGAGGGAAATGGTTGAAACAAGTCCAATGCATTCTATAAAACCTAAAGGAAAATATTATCCTTCCCAAGAGCATGCAAGAAACACAAAGTTGGTGAATTATTTACATATTGGCCAGCAAGACTTATCCAACCACACTGACTGGCTGCAGATGGTCAGTTTTGCAACTGATTAGGGGCAGACTTAGACCTGTTAAATCCTTATAACTAACTCCAAAGTGTAAACTGCATCTTAGAAAGAAATTCAAGATATTGGGTGAATGTTTAGCTACTTTTTAGAAAATATCAAGTGTCCATTTGTGAACAACGAAAGCAAAACTGTCAACTTTACAATATAAGTGTACAAAGCATAATGACAGGTACAATGTTGCCAGAGTAGTTGTTGCGGTGATTCCATATCCTGATCCTAAATAAATAGTGAATTTTCTTTTTCAAAGAGGCAACAAGTATTCATCAACAACAATCATGAAACTCATGTAGCATATGAAGAATGGAGATTTCACCTGAACATAAAGTAAGAACCACAAACATGCTAGCTATGACCCATAAGCTTCTGTGTAACAAGAAGATGGTAGGTATGGTCATGAACCAACTGCTTTCTTGTAGACCACCTTACACTTATGGCCACCCTTTAAACAAATCTGGCACTAATAGCTTCTCCAAGCTCATGGAACTACTATGACACATGAACTTCTGTTCACTTTTTCTCTCTTTTGTTTTATGGTCAAAGTAGCAAGTACCACAACACATTAGTCCTTGCTTTTAATATGTAGTTAGTTGACAAATTACATGGCATAAAGGGTGGCCAGGAGCATGAGACTCTTGCTTATGCAGAGTCCAGAAAAGGTTTAATGTATACAGTCTCACCACTTTACACTGCAAGCATTTACTAATTTTGCTTTCGATAATTTTAAGAAGAGGGTTATGGAATATTTCAAATAAAAACGAAAAACCAACACAAAGATCACTAACAATGAGGGTGAAATTAGAAAAATGGAACAATTGCAAGCCATTTATAACAAAAAGCCCATATCTTCCAACACAATATAATGTTTTTTCTTCCAAAAAGGGTAAAAATTATATTAATTTTAAAAGTGACTATGGCTTCTTCTCTGCTCATCAAAGCACAAAAGAGATTTCAACTCTGTTGGCCAAGTATCCCACCAGAGCTGAGAAATGTCAAAATTCTTAGTTTGATAAGCTAACCAGTTGGCACAACTATTAAATTCTCTAAACACATGGGACACCTTACATTCCTCAAAATCAGCTAATAAATACAAGATGTTCCTAACACATTTCATAAACCCACATATATCATTGCTCTAGAATATAGAGACCTTAAAACTGATCTTAATTCTTTTGGGTGGGACCACTTAAATAATTGAACTAGTCTCCTGCCAACCCCACTATACCTTCTGCAAGACTCCCTCTTACACAAACAGACGGTCAGATGGAGACCCCCTGCTTCCTACTCCATTTTCCATTCTCTTTATCCATCAATCATAAATTTCCTATACACAATCACACAACAAGCCTTGTCATTGTTTCAAATCATTCTTTCATCTACTAATCTTGTAACTTCGGGCAGGGTAACAGAACCCAACAAGTAGATTGGTACAGGTCTAGATGGAGATACTGGGCCATGCTTGAAGTCTTGAACTAACTCAAACCAACTGCATGGATTACTTCAACCCTACTGGAGTTGTTGCCATCTAAATTACAAAGGAAAGACTTGAACGAAATGTGAGTCAAATAATTGATATTGAAAAGCAGTACCACATCATGTAGCAGCAACTTGAAGGATCTTAAAAATAAAGATTTAACACATAATAATATACAAGAACTTAAAATGGTCGATAGACAGCCTACCCTGGTAAATTGCGATCCACCAAACCTCTGACACATATATCTCTGGAAATAATAGCTTATTAGTATCGCATTGCCTCTACATGACAGATGAAAAAACTGTTTTACTTTAAGTTTTGTTGCATGTCATGTTTCAAGGCACAAAACATATGGCTCACCTCAGAACTGGATCTAGTCCTCCTTGAACAATTCCAAATAAGTTTTGCTCATCCGGTCTCTTGTGAGCTGTCCTTGAATGTACCCAAGATATCACAAGGAAAATAACAAATATAGTAACTAAAAAGAGAATATCATGAAAAGATGTGTCATGCTTTTAGAAAATGTCCAAATGCAAGGATAGATTAATACCTATTAAATATATTATTGTTCCCATTGAAAAACACAAGGTATGACATCTATGCCTATATTTGTTACCAAAGAAAATAAGAACAACTCAAATTAATATATAGTATAAGTTTTTATGGTATATTGCAAGCATATATCTGCATGATTACTGAAATAATAAGTAACTCCTGCTATTCACTATTTTATTTAATAAAGGCAACAAGTTCATACAACAATCAGATAACATAAAGATTATATAAATGTTTATCATATTTCTAACGAATCAAGGAGAACCAAAAGAAACAATCAAAAAGTTAAGTACATGTTATAGTGTTATACTAACGTGACAGACATTTTGTGTATAATATCATTTTGAAAAAAGAGAGACATGGGGATTGCTTCAGGAATATTATGAAAAACTATTGTTTATTTTCTACGACATAGAAATGGCTTAACAACCATGAAAAATGAGAAGGAAGAAAACTTCTTAAGCAATGTTACAAAAAAAAAACATTGTTTTTTTTTATTACATACATATAGCTTAACAACCGTGATAACATCTACAGCACCGACTGGGTGGTGAATGTATGTTCAACAATATATTACAAGTCAACTAGAGGTACATACAATGTGATGATAGTTTAACAATTTCTGAGATTCATTAAATGTTGGGAGATTATTGTCCAATGAAAGGTAAGAAACAAAAGGCCTGATGGAACTTGCAAGTACTAGCTGAACTAAAATCAAACCGATGATTTGCTCCAGTGAAGAAAATTCTTTCAATAAATGTTACAATGGAATTTGACAACAAGAAAATAATATGCAAGTTTTTTTCTAAAGCAGTGACTTCACATACTCAGTTTTTTGCATGTTAGTGCGACATAACCAGTTCTCGGAGTTCAATGTTTTAAGAAACAACTCAATGCATTTTGTAAATATACCAAAAATGTCATAAATAAGTAATTTAAGATAAGATATTGTAAATGTTTCCAATGAAAGTTCATATAAGTGTGACATAACTCAATGCATTGCCTATGTTCTGTTTATAGAACCCATGAAATATGATGAGTAATGGAGAGTTATATGAAGTTGACCTATTCGATCATAGGTAATTAACTCTCCATTAGTAATTAACTCTGCAACTTTATAACTCTCCATTACTTATCATCTTTCATGTGTTCTATAAACAGAACATAGGTAATTAACTCTTACTAATACTTTTCATATTTGGTTCTGCTATTTATTTTTTATGATCAAACAATTGTCTTTGAGAAGGTATTATCTGTATTTCACCGCACTTGACTAAATATTTAATTACATTATCTGCTATCTTTATTTCTTTTTCATTTTAACAGTCCATTTCACCGAATATTATAGAACTATCAGACCGTACACTTACCAACTACACTAATCTTATTTAAAGTTAGCACCAAAATTACTCTTGCAGTCTGCATATACAAATTAAGATTAAATAGCATTATAGCATTCTAATCTTCTCCATTCCTTTGTGTCGGAAAATCTGGGACGACATCACATGCGCAGCAGAAAAATAGAAAAACAAAATTCCAGAATTCCCGCATAAAAGAATGTTTCATGGTCATGCAAAAGTTGGTGCGCAAAAACCCGCGAAATCGAAAAACTACGCATAAGAAAATTACCTAGGGAGATCGTATATCCCTGAAAACCTGTAGATCTGTGGGAGAGGATGAAGGAGGTCAAGCGTCCTCCTCTTTAACGGTGATCCATACAGCAGGGCCGCGACGACGCTCCTTAAATCTCCAGGCCTGCTATCTGAGAAGGAGAAGAGGAGAGGAGAATAGGAGGTAGCAACCAAGAAACCTCTAGCCTATAGGTGTTTGGTTCCCTCCTATTTATAGAGGCCCCTTGTCAACTTAACCCTAATGGATCCTGCCTATTGAGTACTGGATCTCCATCCAACTACCAAAGTCTCTTAGATTAGTGAATCTCTATCCAATAATCTTTTATTGGCTCTTATTATATCTTATTCATAAGATCCAATAATTCAGGGGCTTATTGAATATCCAATAAGATATGGGCTCCGACGGATATCTCATACATGAACCTCTACTCGTCGCAATGCCTACCATATGTGTGTGACCCTCTAAGCCTAATATCAAGCTGGTCGTGAGTCATACATATCAGAACTCTTTTTAACTCAATGAATTATTATCTCCATAATAATTCACTCGACTCATTGACTGCGGACGTACTAGATCACTACGTCGCAGTCCCCAAACGATACAGGAGAATTCAATCCATTGGACATGTCTGTCCTCAGTTATCGTGTATCTATAATCTCTCATCCATCTAATACTTAGAGATCGTATACCGGGCATGGTACTGTTAGGCTCATATAGTTTCTACTCGAGTCTTGCTCTAATCGTATTATCCCGAAGAACTCTTTCTCTCTCAATCCGAACGACCCGAGCCAAGGATTTGTCTAAGCAAGAACACATGGGATATTTCTCTCATGACACCGAGAGCGAATGATCCTCTGTCGACACTCAATAACCCTCGTAAGGTTGACTACCACCCTCGATGATCGACTGTGCTAGATCTGGAACTTCCAGGCCTATAAGTCCAGTATCAAATAATGATACTCATACAGGACATCCTTAGTGTCTAAGTCACCACTAAGACAACAGAATCGCTGTCTAACAATGAGGTATCATTAACAATCTAGCATTCTGTGAGCGGATCAATCAGTGAACTCATTCTCCAATGAGCACCTGTACTGCATCCCTAGTGTCTCCACATGAGCAACTATAAGACCAGTCACCTCCATCATATGTACGGGTATACAATACACCAGTCTGTCCGGTTATCTCGATGTCCCTCTTGAGTAATCTATGACCAGGATTATTTAGAATCTGCGTTTAAAGGCGAATCAGTCTCATTATCGTGATCTCATCACGATCTGATTCTCATTACACAGATCCATGGACATCACAATATATTCATGCATATATGCAACAAGCAATATAAAATGATAAAATATCAAATAATATAATAAGCAAAAAGAATGCATATCATGTCACACATGCCATCACTCACGTAATTGATTTGCATGGCACCTATGACTAGCACTTTGGTGCTTGTGACCTGTGCTTTCGTGAGGAGTATAAACCTTGTTAACAATACAACAAATGAGCTGAATACATTACACAATCGCACACTAATTAGAAGCATTTCATCAAACATCATAACATATATGAATGAAACTTATGCAATCACTTTGTAAGTTGAGCATACCAACTATACATCTATCGATCCAACGAAGAGTACGATACATAGCTTCTTCAATGCGTGGACCAGTAATGGTTGTCTTCACAACATCATCAAGCGCCATGATGATATCAGCTCCAATCTTATTCTGCACATATTTTTCACAATGCATAATATATGATATAAACTTAAAAGAAACCATTAAGATGATAAGGTCGGAAGTGCTAGGTATTTGTGGACATAAAGGCATGAAAGAGGATATGAAGGTGATAATACTTGGTTAATTCAACCACTAGCAACACAATTTTAGGTAATTTAACTTAAACTTTGTGAAGCAACACTTGGTAGTGATAACACGTGGTTACAAATGAAGCCATTCACTCTAGGTGAGAGTGTCAGAAGCATGGATGTAGTCAACAACTACACACTGGATACTGTATATACACAAACAAGATTAAAAGAACATGCAAGTGAATGTTGGAGTGCTTGAAATAAAAATGTTCAAAATACAATGCCTAACCAATGGTTTACATATGTGCGCCATGCATACACTCGATTCGTCATCTTGTAATAACAAAAATCACAACAACAAGCCGTAATGTACAAAATATTTGGGGTCAGGTAGATGTACCAAATATTCTAGAGTTGACTGATTAACCCTTCACTAATTACGGACAAGCAGAACAAATATTCTATAGAGAGTGAATGCTTGATAAATATCCAATGCATCTTATCATACAAGGAAGTCATACTGTTTTTACAGTAAATGGCAAACTTATTCAGGCAAAAACAGTTCTTCTCCTTAGTAAAGATACGGTGTGCTATGCCTTGGTAACTCTTATGGGGTTAGACAAACACTGACTGGGTTTCTTGTAGTCTTAACTCTTAACCTTCAAGAATAAAATAGTTTCATTCTATGAAGCTATATTATTTACCCACTTAAGCATTATGTCAGGCTAGAGCAACTTTAGTGAAAAAATATAACAAGGTTGGGTCAAATAATGTCTAACCTAAGATCAAGTTGAATGTAAAATGTGCTCCTGCAACCAACCCAACCCAACCGACAAGCATCAACAAATTGTTCATTAGTTATCCATTCAGAAGAAACCTATGAATAACTACACCAGGAACCATCTCACTCTACATATATATCCATATATCATGGCCACAAGCATGCCTAATGAGGGCACACAAAACTCCATGCTCTCTTTCACTAGACCCAAAACCTTAACGCTTTTTTCCTAAAATCCTAACAAACCTAAAAAAGCAAAAGAAAAATAAAATTTTAAAAAATTAATATTATCCTAATCAAATCTGAGGTTCTATACTTCACCCAAGGTAGACTTAGTGGTTTTCTAAACAGAATTGGCAAAATTAGTTTCTTGGGATTTCAACAAAAATAATAGATGACAGATACAGATTATATGTAAGCATACAGTGCCAACAATCAAGAAAACCAAATGGAACATAAAAGAATATCAAAACTGATGCAGCTACAAAGGCCAATATTACTTAACAAGGAAAAAGCTTCGTGCATAGTTTTACCTACTTGTATTTGTATTGATTCTTCAGGTGTCAGAAGCATGGGCTTTGCATCAACAGGAGACTGACACAGAGAAAAAAAGGTAAAGTGAAGAGGAATCTAAGATGAAATGACATATAGAGTACTATAAATGCATACCATAAGTTCACTTTAGTTGAAGATATATGAGATTTTATCATGAGAAGCAATGGGGAAAACCTCATTATTTCAAACAGAGAAATTCAAGGTTTTTGAAAGAGACATATAACAATTAATGTGACTTATAAATCTCAATTGCTTCAGGAATTTCAAATCCTGATATTCATCAGAAGTTTTGAGTGGGAATTTCCCTGTTTCAGATTAGGACTGAGTTGTGTATGGTTGGGAATTCCGAAGCATTGAACATGTACACATTTGTAAATCCTAAGATTTAGAAGTTCCATAGTCACCTTTCAGAATGAAAAACTAGAATTTGGAAGGTGGGTTTTGTTAGTGTGTGGTGCAATTTATTAAATCCCAATGGCATGCAGGGTTTTGGCATTTTCAGATGAGAAATATTTGCATAACGAAATTCATTAGGTGGGACTTTAAAGATGTTTGGCTAAAAAACAAACTGAAGAGATTTAAATGTATCTGTAAAAACAGAAGCAACATAAGAAGCCTCTCCAACACTTTCAAATGATCGAGAGCACAATCAAACTGTTCATTTTTTACAAAGTCTTTTCTATGATCAACTTACAAGCAATACATGCTTAATAATAAGAAGTTCTGAACTGCATTAATCATGACTATTTTTATGCTGGATTAAGAATCACTTTACAGCTAGACATTGCATCACAAGAATCAATAATATGGTTACTAAATAACTTTCAATCCTTACCTGAAATGTCACACCCTGCTCAGTAATGTCAGCCAAATGCAATAAAGAAACCTGCAAAGCAGTATGCCATGTGGTCAAAGATTAAACCTAACAAAACTTAGCAAACTAAAGTATGTTGTGTAGTAAAACTAAACCAAAATTCCTTTTCATTGCAGAGGTTTACAGTAAGCACTAGTTTTCAACTTTGCTAAAATGCAATAGAAATTCTACAGGAGAAAATTACAACCCAAGGCAGGTAGGCAAAATGTTTAATCAAGCAAAACTGCATGACATTTTGTAACATGTCTTAAACATAGAGATAAAATTCCATACAGAACAACTTGCAATTATACCTCTGATAAAATCAGGACAAGCTTAATTCCTGACCAGAAAGTAACAATAACTTTGGTTAGTTACTGTACAGAGCATGGGATCAGCACAGACTCCCATGAAATTCTCAAATACTAAAGTACTCAATGTTAATTAAAGGCTACAGGGTAAAAATTCAAGTTAGCACCTAGGAGAATATTAAGCTTCTAATCAATGGTCCATTAGTTTATACTTTATACATATAGAAGTGACCCATCCACAACTCCAAGCAACTTGAGACAACTTTCCGACTTCAAGAACTGTATGTTCAGCAATCACTACCACCACACTGTGACATTATGGTACCATGCTGCACTGGTCACTTGCAAGCCAGAATGCAAATGTTATATGAGTTTCTTTTCCATGAATCCCACAAGAACATTTATCTTAATTTACATCCAATCTTCTAAGATCCAAATTCATTTAAATTCAGGTGATTCTGGATATTGTTAAGATCTCAGGCCACTACATTTAATATTAAATATGCTGAACACATCTGACAGTAAACGAACAACAGGCTTAAGCTTCACCAGCACTGACTACTTGATCCTGTTCAAATTAAGTATGTGAGTCCTCCTAAAAAAATTCTCACAAAAAGAACTAGTTTTTCAGTTGGCCAGAACAAGCTAGATTTAGACTGATTAGTAGTTATAATAAGATAACAAAAGGTTTAGATCAGATGTCCTCCAACAACAGTAACATAAAAATAAGCATATAAGTGCAACATCATGTATATAACATAGCTAAATGAAAGAAGTGATGCAAAAATGAACTCAGGGAACTGAATAGGGCATTTTAATATGCAAATATTGTCACCAAGAGTTTAACAACCATTTGAAAGCCGCCTGAGTCGGTAAGCAGGGCTCTCTTCCAGTTCATGAATTTATGAAGACCACCCAAGTCATCAATCAACTCAGCACCAGGTCGAAGAGCAAGATGATAGGTATTACCAAGTATTATTTGGCAGCCAATCTCCTCCAACTGATTATTAGTCAGACCTTTTATTGTACCTACCAAACAAACAATCAAAGGTCAGTTAAATATATGATTCCAATTACAAAGGGTTCATAATATTACAGCACAATGACACAGTCGGGGAGCTCAAAGTTGACCCAGAGACGGATGATGTCCTTTCTATGCTCAGTGCTTGTGGGTGGTAGCTATGAAATATGATGTTCAGTCATTACCAGCACACCTCATGTTGGCAAAACCAAATTTCTTGTGTTATTCAGAAGTTTCTACTGTTAAGCTTTCCTAGTACAAAATCAAACCACACCAAACTTTAAAGTGATATATGTTGCAGAGGTAGTATCAATTTTTATCTCAGTGAACTTTTTGGGATCCAAATACAATATATTTTGTTTTTAATCCTAAATAATATAGTTAAATAATGAATTTGAACAAATTTATTCAACTTAGTTTTAAATTCAGTCACTACACATAACATCCATGCTAATTGAAATAAGACAACGGTTGTATATTCAAGTATAATCATTCTTGAGAATTCACAACTGATGATGGACAATTATCCAATCTTTCCTCAAAAAAAAAAAAACAAGTCTATACATAACAGTAAAAAATTAAAGCATAAATAGTATCTTCATTACAAATATGTGGAACATAATGTAAGTTTTATTGTCCAATAGTTTGAAAATTCTGAGTATTTTTCTGTCAAACAGTGACTGGGCAATTCTACATTTCTAGGAGAGTTTAATTAATCTGCTATAATAGGGTGGTTAGATAATTTCCCATGCTAGGAGTGTTCCTAAGTTCTGGACAATATATAGAAAATTGTCCAGCACCACCACCAAAGATTTGCAGGGAGGTTTCAGGTAACAGTTCCATACTCTCTATCACTGAACTAGCTTCTGATACATACATTTACATAGACAAAAAATCTCTTTCGGGTTTTAAGCATAATCTATGAACTTATAAATGAAAAAGAACTTACATGAAAAAGCACACAAAGATCATAATTGCATAATCTGATGCACAAACACTTCAATTAAGAGATCATAATGCATTTGCATGAAAAAGCACACAAAGACTCTACCATACAATACTAGCATAATATAGAAAAATGAAAATGAACCTACCATCATAATATTACAACTTAACAATTTTGTATGACAACAATTAAAAGTTAGACAGGAGCACAACATATATATGCTTAAAGCATCTTACTCTAGATTATATCTAGGCACCTGATAGCTGAAAAAGAACTATAAAATTCCTGCAGAATAGAATGTAGAAAAGAGTGAAATTTGAACCTTGAGTTCCAACAGGCATAAAAAGTGGTGTTTGGCAAACAAAGTGAGGAAGTGCTAATCGTGCTGCACGGGCTCTGTTGAATTTTCCTAGCACCTGGAATACAGAATATTCATTGAAGGGCCAGTATCAAGAGAACACACAGGCAATGAGACTATAAACTGGCAGGCAGACCCATATTTAATAATAAATCAACAAAAGAGAATATGCTGGAAAAAGAGTGCACCAAGGCTTTCAAATAGTCCTGTCCTCTAGGTTCATAGAATTTAAATGCATCAGTTCTACTGCTATTTTTTTTTAATTGTTAGTTCCAATATTAGGAACTTTAATTTTTTTCCTGTAATCCTCAAATAACTAAAAGGATAGGCCAACATATAAGGGCTCTCACCATTCTAACTAAGAAATATCCGCTAGCACAGATACAGATCAACCTTGTTGAACCTACCATCGAAAACACGACTAATTATTTTCTCATATGTCAATTATACAGCCCAAGATTTCAAATATTGGTAGGATCTACACGTACCAGTCAGACTGGTATTTATCGATCCGAGCAAGGACCAAAGCAGAATAATATTGCTTGGCACTAATGTCAAATAATCATCAACAAGATTAACAGGAGATTCGACCTTTCAAGAAAAGAAAAGAAACTGTAGATTAGACCTCTATGCAATCAAAAGTTTAGACTCAAACGTTGTATGAAACAACCTCCTTCACCCAAATGTGTAACATTACGCCCACATCATCATTGTTCATTACAAAAAAAAAAAGAATTGGTAGAAGATCATAAATAAACAAATATAACAAACAGATGGTTCCCCACCTCGAATTTAAGCGCCATTTTCAGAAAAGACACACAAAAGGCCTCACCCTGCAAACAGAACTCAATGTAGTTAAATTATATAGATGCATCCAGAGGATCAGCTTATTGTTCCAGTATAAAAGACAAACAAAACAAGAAAAACCAAATACGAAACAACATGTCATCGTATTCGTTCACATTTTAAACTAAACTTTTGTTGGGAAATCTGGGGCGACATCACATGCGCAGCGGAAGAATAAAAAAACAAAATCTCATAATTCCCGCAAAAAAGAAAATTTCATCGACGTGCAAAAGTTGGTGCGCAAGAATCCGCGAAACCGAAAAACTGCATGTAAGAAAATTACCTAGGGAGATCGTATATCCCTGAAAACCTACAAATCTATGGGAGAGGATGAAAGAGATCAATTGTCCTCCTCTCTAACGGTGATTCACATGGCAGGGGTTGCGAAGATGTTCCTCAAATCGTTGTCCAAAACTTTTCCTCACGCGCACCACACAATCAAGAAGGGACTGCCCCTTCTTATTGTCCACACGCTCCAAATATGGGCTACAGTATAAGAGAGGGAGAGAGAAGAATAGGATGAGATAGCCAAAAAGAACCTCTAGCCTATGGGTTTTTGGTTCCCTCATATTTATAAAGGCCCCTTGTCAACTTAACTCTATTGGATCCTGTCATATTAGATATTAGATCTTCATCCAACTACCCAAGCTTCTTAGATTAGTGAGTCTCTACCTAATAATCTCTTATTAGCTCTTATTGGATCTCATTCATAGGATCCAATAATTCATGAACTTATTGAATATCCAATAAGATAAGGGCTACATTGGATATCTCATATCTGAACCTCTACTCGTCGCAACGCCTATCATACGTGTGTGATCCTCTAGGCCCAATATCGAGCTGGCCGTAAGTCATATTTATTAGAACTCCTTCTAGCTCAGTGAATTATTATCTCCGTAATAATTCACTCGACTCATCGACTGCGGATGTACTAGGTCACTACGCCGCAGTCCCCAGATAATACATATTTATCCTCAGTTACTGTGTACCTATAGTCCCTCATCCATCTAATATCCCAGAGATTGTATATCGGGCATGGTGTTATCCGGCTCATATAGTTTCTACACAAGTCTCACTCTAATCGGATTCTCCCGGAGAACTATTTCTCTCTCAATCCGAATTCTATCGATATCATAAGGTTGACTCCCGATGACCGGCTGTGTTAGATTTAGAACCTCCAGACCTATAAGTCTGATATCAAAGAATGAAGTACTCATACAGGACATCCTTAGTGTCTCAAGTCTAAGGACCAGATACACCACTGAGACGACGAAATCGTTATATGATAATAAGGCATCATCAATCATCTAAAATTCCGTAAGCAAATCAATCAGTGAACTCATTCTCTAATGAGCACCTACACTGTATCTCTGGTATCCTCACACGAGCAGCTATGAGACCAACTGCATCCATCATATGGACGGGTAAACAACACATCAATCTGTCCGGTTATTTCGATGTTTCTCTCGAGTAACCTATGACCGAGATTATTTATGATCGTGTTTAAAGTCGAATCGATTTTATTATCGTAATATTATCACGATCTGATTCTCATTGTATAGATCAATGGATTTCACAATATATTCATACAATAGATAATATAAAATATTAAAATATTAAATAATAATAAATAAATAAATAGATTATATGTTAAGTCACACGTGTTATCACTGATGTGATTGATATAATAATAAATAAAAAGACCATGTGTCAGCACCTATTACTAACAAATTTTTCATTTAAAGAAGTCACCACGGCCGTGATTAAGAAGCTTTGTTTTAGCGACCAAGAAGAACGGGAGATTAAGATATCTTTTAGTTGGCATTGCGAAGGGAGAACAAGAGGATACAAATATAACAACACCCCATTGCCGCAAAGAAGCAAAAGAAACAAGGTTTTGGATTACGTCTTGAATTACTTCTCTACATCTTTGGTCAAGAATGTAAATTCACAGCACGCAGAAGCTACGGACGCTAATTACGGACCAATCAAGAACCAAAATGGCGAAGAAAACCTAAAGTCATAACGAAAAAACATCTTTGAATCATTTTCTTGAAACAAAGGAACGAAGCGTCTACTTCGACAATTAGAGACGATGGAGAGGGAAAGGGAATCGAAACCTAAAGCGCGATCTCCGCCCTCCTCGACTATGAGGGAGTAAGACGCCGAACTGCCCCAAGCGGCTACCTCGCCGTCTCCATCCACGGCAGGGCTTCGGAGACGGTTGCGGCGTCGAAGGCGAGGGGGAGATGTTTTCGAGACGACGGCGCCCTTTATTCGTAGAATGACCTGATCTTGGCCGTTCAAACGGTCGGCGTACCTATTTTCACCGTTCGTCTTAGGATGAACGGTTTTGATCGAGTCGCTTGCGGCGACTGAGGCGAAAGAGTAAATGCCTTGGAGACAGCGGCTCCCTCTCTATTCACGGAATGACCTGATCTTGGCCGTTCAAATGGTCGGCGTACCCATATACGGCAGTTCATACCGTCCGTCTTAAGATGAACGGTTGTGATTGACGGTTCAGGATTCTACACGTGGGCCGGACTGTCGGATAGTCAAAGTCTCGGTGGATTGAAATGTTATTTTCTTAGGACAGTGTATGGGCCCACTCGACTTATGAATGGGCCGCATACACAGCTGCAGAATAGAAAAAACGTGGTACAATGATGCTAAGTTTGAACGTAAGGATTCTGGAGGAACGTCGGATCGATGATAAATCCTGAAAGGGCTTACCGGCGATACAAAGACTTGTCGGAGTACGTCGTCGAGCACGCACGCTCTGCAGCTTCTTCACGTGGGGTCGGAAGCTCCTCAGCCGTCATGAAGACCTCCGAGCCCAACTTGTTGACCACAGGAAGCGGGAGACAACACGGCGGCGTCACTTCCGCGCGCGGTTGCTTGACGCAACACAAAGCTCGATGACGGAACCACCTTTAATACGCGAGTGCTCGACGAAGTGACGCAACACAAAGATTGACTTGACAAAGATGTTCTATTGATGTAGGAATCATTTGTACTACTCCCGATTTAATTTTACAATAGAAGTGGCACAAAGATTTGAATTCAACGGCGGCGCTTCTGGAACAGCCCATCTTCGCTCTCGGCGACTTTGACCGTAACGGAACGCCAACCCAGCCAATTGGCCAAAATCATCTCCAGCCACATGCCCCTGATTTGAAAGCTTGGTTTCCCTCCATCACAACCGAACGTGATTGAGGCGGCGTCCCACCATCAGCAGCCAATGTGAATCGAGCCATCGGATGGAATCTGATGCCATTTTAGGACCCGTTCATTTGGTTACATGACAAGTTGAAGAGGGAAGCCAGACGATTTCATTCATTCTCGTTGTTCCGAATTGGATGCCTACGTTTCTCTCAGGAATCAGAATCGATTCCTAGTTTCACACTCATAATCACTTCCGCCACTTACTTCTTTCGAAACAAATATAATAATAATAATAGGATAATTTTTTGAAAAAAAAATTAAAAAAATTTCTGTGGAACATTGTAACTTTTAAAATTTTCAAGATAACATCATTAAAAAAAAAACTAATTATCCTATCCGCACACACATAGGTTAATCTTGTCACTTGCTACTCAGGTTGTTTATATCTCCACGTATAAGTTAGTTTGATTGGTGCCCTCCGTGTGTGGACTAGCATCATTGGTCATGCTTGTACCTCCACACGTGAGCTACTTTCATTAATTATCTTTGAGGTACAAGAGATCGAAAGAGATTATTAAGTATAATAAAGACGATCAAAGATAATATAAGGAAGAAGTGCCCATCTAAGAGGGTTTAATGAAGATAAAAGTAAGATGATCTTTTCATATGACTAAAGATGTCCTATAAATTTTTTTATTAGTATAAATTATAATTTAAGATTTTTTTATAATTCGTCCAAAATAATATAAGTTGTAATTTTAAGGCCACTATATTTGCCATTAGCTAAACAAATTCCATTAAGCACGCCGATGCACGTGCGTCATCTCCGACGCCCAGGTGCGCTTATCCTTGCGGCTCACCCGAGTCCAAATAAACACACTAGTTCTACCCCTTTATAACTTTTCTCTCACACCGAATACTGGGGTCCATCGTATCAGGAAATACGAAGGAGGTAGTGACGCGGGTACGAAATAGTGGGAAAAGAAAAGCTTTAGTACTGAACCGTCTCGAGTCTCAGAGATACAGCAGTCTACGCTGACCGCCACTGCCTTCTTCCCCCTTTCCTCTCCTCTGCGTCCTTATAATCACCTCCTGCTTCACTGACTACATCGTTGTCTCACACGTCGTGCTGCGTCCTCGATGGCAATGAAGTTCCACCGCCGTCCGATCGTCGGGCCGCTAATGGCGGCCCTCGTTTCCCTGCTCGCACTGCTTCTCCTCCCTCCCCAGTGCGCCCTCGCTCAGCCCTCACCGCCCTCCGACGGCATCAGCGACAGCGCCAACAACTACAACTATTACGGCAAGTTTAACCCCACGATGGCCATCGTCATCGTCGTGATGATAAGTCTTTTCTTCCTCCTGGGGTTCTTTTCCCTTTACGTCCGCAACTGTAGCGGCAACAACGAGGACTTAAGCGGTTCCTTCCGCCGCCGCGCCGCGGGCGGCGCAGCCCACTCTCGGCGGCAGCAGGGGCTGAGCCCCGAGGTCCTCGAGACGTTCCCCACGCTGGTGTACGCTGAGGTTAAGGGGCTGAAGGCGGGGAAGGGGGCACTCGAGTGTGCGGTGTGCCTCAGCGAGTTCGAGGACGACGAGGAGCTCCGCCTCCTCCCTCGCTGCAGCCACGTCTTCCACTCCGACTGCATTGACGCCTGGCTCGCCTCCCACGTCACTTGCCCCGTCTGCCGCGCCAACCTCGCCGAGCAAGCCGCCGACGACAACCCCGACCTGCTACCTGTAGCCACCCCTTCTACAGACGCGGCGGGTCTACAACTCGAAACCGCTGCCCCGCCACAGGATCATGTCGCCATCGTCGTGGACCCCACAGCGGTGGCGGCGGAAGAGGAGGAGCGGAAGGAGGCAGCCGCGGAATTGTTGCGGATCGGAAGCCAGAGGCGGGCGGCCCGGCCGCGATCCGGGCGGCGGCCGGCGAAGCTCCCGCGGTCTCATTCAACCGGACATTCCGAGGTCCGGCCTGTGGAGGACGTCGACCGGTACACCCTCCGCTTGCCGGAGCACATACGGAAGGAGATCTTCGCCGCTCGGAAGTTCCACCGTTCCACAAGCTGCGTCGCGTTCCCGACCGCCGGGGAGGGGAGCTCCAGGCGTGGGCCACGCGGCGGTGGCTGGGAGGGAAGCGGCCGCGGGTGGCGGAGCTTTCGTCTTCGGAAGTCGGACCGGTGGCCCTCGTTCTTCCTCCGGACGCTCTCGCTGAAGGTCCCGGCGTGGGCCGCAGGAAGGAGAGGGGATGGCGAGGGCTCGATAAAGAAAGGGGAAGGGGAGGCCTCGGCGAGGGGGAGAATCGCGACCGTGATAGCGCCTCTGGAGTGCCTCGAAGGGGGCGGCGAGCAGTCGTCCTCCACCCGATCCCTCGCACGGCAAGTTTGACCGACTCGAGCTGTTCGGATCCGTTCTCGTTGACTTCGATTCGTTCCAATTCTTTATTTTATATAAACAAATAAAAAATGATGGTGGGGGATTAAACGTGTGTTAAACGGCGTGTGGGGTCCGTAAGACTCAAAAAGAAATGTACATATCCTCGGGTAGTGTGTGAAGCATTGAAATGGTGGTTTGCGGGGTTGGACCCATTCATTTGTAGGTTATTAATAAGAGGATTCAATTGTTAAAAAGCTTTATTTCAGATTGCATTTATGTTGGAATTTTGCTATCGAAAATTTATTGGATATGAGTGCATAAGTGTCCATCGAATCACAGAAAGTAATGGTTTTGCAGGACATCATAATCCTACCATGTGCCATAAATTTGAAGCTGAGTTTGAATGAAATTAGTGACTGCATCAATTACCACTCTTCACGTGAAAGCTTCAACCACCGTAAGGTGGAGGCTGGTATCCGTCGCGATCAAAGTTAGGCAGTCTTAGTTGTCTTACATGTTAGAATCATGAATTGGCAACTCGAATATTATAAGTTGGCATATTAGTCAGAGTTTGGATAGATACAACCATTAAAAGTTAACATAGGATCAATAATGATTCCACATGCATTCATCGAAATACTTGAGACAAAACAGTTTAAAGACCCACTAGGATTGTCATAGCCTTGCCTTGTAGTATATATAGCACATCCTTGTTCAAAAAATTTACATTGAGCAAAAATAAAATTATCACCCTAATTACATAGAGAATAAAGCCAACACCTCCCCTATCATCCCCTCCCCCTTGAAGCAAGCATCCGCTTTCTCGCTTCGTCATGATTTCTTCAGAATTAGACACTTGATATGCAACATCGAAGGCTGAGTGATACCGAGTTGAATAGTGTTGCTGGGGATGGGTTGAAGCAGATAAACTCGTTTGCCACCGACAAACAATTGTAGTTCTGTCGAAAGCATCGAAATGATGTACAAAAGATTAAAACATTAATTATAATGTGTATCATCAGTATCAGTGCAACTATAAACAATGGCGCAAGGAAAAATGACAAACAGTAAGAAAAAGCATCCAGCACTGAGGTCATACCTGTTGGAGCTTGAAGACTGTGATGGGCGCGGAAAGAGCGCCAATTCCGTCGTTGGATCATCTGGTGTTTGGAAAAATTGAGGTGTCTTGATTTGCCTCCTCCCACTGCTTAACCCAAGGACTGTTCCGAATTTTCAGATGTTGGAGAGTGGATGACAATCTCTCTGTCGGAGGGAGCCGTAGATATGGACAATCATCTATGGTCAAAGAATGCAGGGAGGTGAGGTTGGTAAGTCCCGTCACAGACGTTAACTTCGAGCACCGTGATATCTCCAACTCCTGGAGCGAAGGTAGATTCATATCAATACTAAAGCTGTGAAAGCCTCGAAATGATAAAGGGAGCATTGTCGTGTCGTCGTCAAGTGAAATAAAGGGAGCATCGTCGGAGATGTCACCAAAATGAGTTAATTCTAATTTCCTCAGCAAGAAAAATGGGTGATGAGGAAAAATCCTCAACTTAGGACAACCATCGATTCTAAGTCGGAGAAGACGAGGAAAGTCGCCGGCCTCCACTCCATCCCACTGTTGCCAATTTTCCATATCTAAGAACGTCAAGGTCTCCAAAGACGGGAACCCCTTTATCGCACCACCGATGCCACAAAACTCACGCCCAATACGTTGGAGATCAGAGAAATATTTTATAGCAAGAACTCTAAGAGAAGGCAGCTGACCCAAGGGTGGAAGCAGATTGCATTTCAAGCATACGACTATCTCTATATTCACTAGTTTGGAGAAGGATGAATCCCCCAACCATGTTGCAAATCTGGCACCACCGTAAGCGTGTATTAGAAACCGTTGTAGGTTAGGATGTGGGCGGAAGCATTCGAGAACCTACTTTGACGTGTCTTCGTCCATGTCTTCGTCTTTACAGGTGCCGCCTTCGTACCAGTCCAGTGTCAAAAACTCGATACGATCTTTTGTTCAGCAGAGGTGTTTCTGTTTGAGGAACAGACTTATCCACATACCTAAGATTTTCAATGATGAGTTTTCCTCTCAGATTCACTAAACCCTTCAATTCCTCTATCTCGATACGCCAACTCGTCGGGCCCAATGCAAAGCAGTCGAGTGTTTGCAAGTAAGTCAACTTTCCAAGGCCACGAGGGACAGCGATACGAGTATGACTCAGCATGAGATGCCTTATATTTGGCAAGTTTACTATGCCGCTTGGTAGCTCCCGAAGACCCAACGTACCAGTCAAACTTAGAATCTGCAAATTGTAGAGGCTGCATATGGATTCTGGAAGACTGTGGATCTCAATACCTTCGATGGAGAGGTAGCGTAGTAGTTTGAGGTCGCCGATTGAATCAGGCAGCCCTGCGATGTCGGTGCGGCTAAAGTTCAAAGCTCGTAGGTATTTCAAGTTGTGGAACAATTCATCGATGAATTCACAACAATACTTTTCATTGAAACGCGATCCGTTAGTTATCAGAGTCCGGAGACGTTTTAGCTTCAGCAAAGCCTTGACGTCTCTGGGTGCCATCCGGTCGTCAAAAACCAGATACAAGTGGCGAACCTTGTGAAATTTGTCGCCGTCCCGCTGAAATATGCTTGCGAGTTTGTTAGCTGCTATGCTTAGGCATTCCCCCTGCGCGACAGACTGTGCTAGGTCGTGAACAAGATCATGCAGCACTAACCCTTTCTCTTCCTCGGGGTCAAGGTAAATCGGTCCAGGTATCACCTTCGTCTGCAAAATTGACCTATCCACCAAGTTTCTGACGTAATCACTGCCTACATCCTCTGCTTGCTTGCTTCTTGGAGGCCGAAGAAGACCTTGTGACATCCATAAATGGACAATGTATCTCTCGAATAAAACTGTGTCTTTGGGAAATAAGGACAGGTACCGGAAGCACCTTTTTAGATCTATTGGCAAATAATCATAGCTTATTTTAAGAGCCGGTAAGATCTCCAAGTTTGCATCGACTAATTCCCACCGCTCGCTTTCCAAGATGTCCGTCCATTTGTCTTCATCATCTTCGTAACTGAGGGCTCGTGCAATTACCTTCACCGCCAACGGCAAGCCTTTGCACTTCTCGACGATCTTCCGACCGATGTCCACCAAATTGTTATGCCTGCTGCTGGATTCTAAGCCTTCCAAGGCAAGCTTCTCGAACAACATCCAGCATTTGTCGAATGGTAAGGTGTTCAAGCTCAAAGGCTCCATCGTCTGCATGTTTCTGGCAACACATTCATTTCGAGTAGTCACTATGACTTTACCCACTCCAGCCTTGAGTAAGGGGACTTTCACCAACTCCCAAAGACTAGGTTTCTCA